CCCCGCCGAAAAAAATTCAACCGTCTGTATGGTATCTCATGAGAAACCATGGGTGTCTCTTGTATTCACTATACGTCATCTAGTGTATACAATATTTACAGTAATAATATCAATTTACAGCTGATTGTGATAGACATTCATTAAACACTGGTATAAATAGAAAACTTAGAGGAATATAAATTAAATAAGCATACCAGTTCGCCAGCACATACATCTGCTGATAACCAGTTTTTCTTTTATAAAAACATATATACACTTGAATCTGTAAAGCAAAAGAAGTACCATCGTCGAGTATAAAGGTAGTATTGGACTACTTGTCGGTGAAAGTAGTCCTGTACAGGGCAAAAGCAATAAGTAAGGTTTGTTTTCGTTTTGTTTTTTATAAACTGACTTAATGGGGGAGGCAGAATTTGAGCCATGTGAAAATAACTGGTTAATTTAATTTTTTTTTTAAACCTTCAAAGGAATATTCAAGATTAAACAACTCAATTTCAACTCTTATCAAATGGTTAAGCTTCACAATATTCACGGTATACGTGTCATTATAACCAGAAGTTAACTTATCATGAGTGCACCCATTCTTCATCAACATTCACACCCGTACATTAAAGTGATATTGAGATTCTATAATCAACATAGTAGACAGCAAACAGATATCAATGACAATAGCATGCATTTTATTACACAGGCAATATTAGCCCCATGTATTACTGATAGAATGTCTAAATAAAAAGAATGAGAGCACTCAATGTTTTCTAAAGAAACAAGCTGTCTACAATTCCAACTCTACACAAAACTATAATTTAACATTGTCCCTTTCTCTTTTTGGTTGGAAAAGTCAAAAGACAGAGACCTATTGAATATCTTTTCTTCAAATTTAAACCGTTCATCTGGTACGCCACGAAAAATTGTAACATTAAGCTTCGTGCAGTACCATCAAGTTGAAAAATTTGCTCCTCTGGTAGCCATGTACGTCACGCCAATCATCTGGCTTTCATTGTTCAGTATGGAGTTTTTGCCAAAAGTATTGCATGGCTTCATATTCAGAAATTTAAAAATGCACATACTGGTACCAAATTTGCTAGTATTAGTTTACCACAAGGCTTACAAACAGATGTTAAAACAGGTCTAGTCTTGCAGACAAAACATAGAAAATTCACTTTTTGACTTAGACTTGAAAGATTTTTTAAATTATGAGAAAGATGGGGAATACGAGGAATGAAAAAAGAGATTCAACCGAAGACCCGGGGTCCGGAATATGTGAAAAGTGGGCTAGATCTAGACAGGTCCGTTAACACTGAGACATGAGACAGCTATCCTGGCTAACAAGCTTAGCTGATAATCTGTGCTAACAGTAGGAATGCACACCCCTGGCAGCGAAGGGGTTAAAAACAGTTAATTTTTCGTAAGAGTTTCACAGCACTTGTAACAGTTAGGTCATATAAGCGCTTAAGACTAGAGTTGCTACAAGAGAGTAACATAAACAAAACAGGAGGACAGGTAAGGATGATGTATAGGAAAGGAGGAGCAAACTCAACCAGAGCACCTGCTAACCACCCACTAAAAACATAATTTATTTAATTTGGTCTACTGGGTCTGATAAATTCAATCAATATCAATACATGGTCATCAATATCTGGATGTTGCTACTGATTTAATAAATATCAAATGGAACAAGGTGATGTCTTTACACAGTCTGAATATGGGAAATCGCTTCTCTGCAGAGTATTATTAACACTAGAAGTTGCATTGCTGACAAGATGTACATGAAATATTTTAAATTTGACACAATATAACTTCAATATTAAATAGTATCTACATTAAGCATGTAGATGTGACAACCAAGACGATCTAGGCATTTTGAGACAGAACATTTTTTTAAATCCAATTTTCTTCCCTAACATATTGTTCAAAAATTTATGAGAAAAATTACTTTCTAGGCACAAATGCTTCAGTACTGAACCATCATCCTGCACTGGATGCTGTCATATTCATATTGCATTTAGAAAACAAAAAACTACAACCGAAGTGGGTTGCACACTCATTTTCTCTTCTCTCCCAATGAAACATTTTTCTCGTTAATGGAAACTAATAAAAGAACCAGTTCAATTTTCAAGATTAATTAGACAAACAATAAGGTCTATCATGCCCATTCGATATTCAGATCAAAAGCAAAAGTTTTAATACTTTACAGGCATTTCAAGACAATGAATGATAAGCAAGCATTGCATATAAAACAAACATCATGTATACAATACCACACAATGATATCGGTAACTAAACTGGAATGCATCAGTATTGCAGGGTACGAATGAGATACAAAGGAATTTGTAGTAGTAGTATAGCGCACTATTGGGACATGGAGTATGGATCTATTCTTTATAACATCTTCCTGTTAATACGAAACATATTGAGCAGGCTCCCCCGTAAGGATTTGCAGAGTGCTTCTGTACTTCCAATTCAAACTGTGACAGATAGACATCCATCATAAAATGATCCTTAAGAGAGAATGATAAATGGAATAGTTTCAAAAAATGAAAAGGGGAAAAAAATGGCACAAGTTTTAAATGTTCTTTTTTCTTCCAACATTAAAATCCATTTAAAGCCTTCATTAACTAGTCAAGACTGGCTACCAGATAGAAAAGCACAAAGACATACTAATGAGAGTAGCCGGGAGTAAACTTAGTGTTTTAAGGTAAGCAGCACACACTGGGCTCTGTTTGTATGACCTAAAACTACTTCACTTTTCTCAATACTCCTCAAAATCCAACAAAAACAAGCTGAAAATGAAAATGTACAATGTTCAGTACCAAACATGAGAGGAACGTTTTTTGAAAATTCAGAAAACCACAGAATAGACAAAAACTCGGAACTAATTCCAAAACAAAAGTGGCACTGAAACCAATGTATGCTGTCGCTGACTGGAAAAAGGTATCTGGCATCTGCACTGACCTTTGGCAGTAAAAACGCGCAGGAGAATAATCACAGCCTGTTGAGAACCATCACATGATGCAATGTGCATGTAACGGTTACACCCTCCACAGTAGGAAAGCATAGAGATTTTCTTCTTAAAAAGTATCCCTGAACAATGGTGAAAGCAAAATGATGACATACTGATAATGATGGTAAGTCCAGATATCTTTCGACTCTTGTTAGAATGAAAGAGACATCTCCCTCTCTTCCGTGAGAGAACGGCTTGGTAGAGAACGCAGAGCTTGAAAGTGGACTCGTTACTTAACATTTTTGCGAATGCATCCCTCGTACCTATTAAATTGTGTACATTTTGAGGACACAAAAGCAAAGAGAACATCGGATGTGAATAGACTTGACTCGATCCACCAGCACCCTGAGTTGACTGTAACACAAGAGGCGTTGATCCTTAAGGCAGTGAGATCAGGAGGGGCAGCCATGTTGAGTCCACTACTCAGTGGCACAGGTATCACAACACTCTTCTCTTTCAAGTCTCATTAAGTTGACATGTACACTGCCAAGACTTCTTTTCAATCCTTTGATTGATGTGTGCACAACTTCTTATCCCTGGAGTTTTGAATGCAGCAAGGGGCGGGGGCAGGGAGAGGGGAAGGAAATGATGACAAAGCTTAAAAGGCACAATATCCCTTTAGTCATTCACTTGAGCAGGTTGTATGGTTCAATTCCAAAGGGAGAAAATATTACTGAAACTCCGAGACAGCAAAGGGAGTATTGATATGGCTATCTTCAAGTAAGCACAATTTCTCAAATTCTAACAGTCTCCACAGGATAAAGGAGGTCAGATAGAAACATCTCCAGGACACTGGACAAAATGAATTCCTCTAGAGACTTGATCGTTGGAACTGGGAAACATAACACTCTAATTTCAAACAGCTCATCTCATTGCCACTCTTTTACTCCTGTTACGAGCTTGTAAGCACACATCATCAATATAGTCAACTTTTCACATTTGTTGGCCATCACACAATCTCAGGATCACAATTCAAGGGCTGCATCTGGGGACAAATGAAACAGCTTATAAACCTAGTGCCATCAGTGTTTCCTTACAAAAAAGCAGTAAAAAGAAACTCCATTCTACAACTACTATAATAAACTTCATATAATAATATTATTGCTAAATGTGAACAATAAAAACCTGGATTCAGCTTAACATAATTCCTACAGTATCCAAACAAAACGGCAGACTGCAAGAACTTACAGTTCAACAAATTGAAGACAAGATACCATTAATTCTTAATGTTTTTCTTTCAATCAAATACTTTCAGAAAAAACTCCAGCTACAAAATAACCCTCAGAATACTATCTAGCTCAGACTGTGAGTGTAGCAGAGCATGCCATCCAATACCTGGAGACTCAATCAGCAATAGGCAGAAATATGATAACTTTTGAAAAAAAAGTAACCTACCATATTTTTGGAGTGCAGTACGGAAAATCTTTAGGAATTGACAAGTCTCAAGAAAGGTATGGACAAGCCATACCTTGACATAAGTTTAAAGAAATAACGTTGCCACATACCTGATCATTTCCAGATTCGTTCTTCTCCATGATGAGTTGATCATCTGTTGTTGTTTTACGATATACTGGGTTGTCAAAGTTCATTGACTTGACATTCTTCTTCCGGTGACGTTTGACCAGGAACACAATCACCTAGTGAAAATCAGAGAATCAATTGTGAATATTTTATTTATTATTTTGAAAGTAAAAAGAGTCATGTGTCACGGCGCGGTGGAATCAGGCGCTCATCCATTTCTTGACATTAAGAAGTTATCGCTGTCATTTTAAAGCTCGTTCATTGCCTTGCTTTCGGTGAACAAAATACTCATCTATCACGAATAGAAGTCCAGATATTTGAGGTTGATGGAAGTGGGCGTTGCCCGATTTCCGAGTTAAAATTAGCGAGAAAATGATATATACCTAATACATCACAAAAATGCATAATTTTTAGCTTTGTGCTCTACCATGGACGTCTCAGAAGTTTAGTTTTAGTAAGTATTTTACGGCATTTGCAACACAATAAGGTCAAATAAGTGCCAAAGATTAGAGGTGTTACAAGAGAGTAACATAAACAAAACAGGAGGAGAGATAGGAACGATAGACGTCTGATAGGAAAGAAGGAGCAAACCACACCAGAACACTCGCCAACAACCCAAGTCACAGAAGTTTGCAAAATTTTCAGTTTCTGGTTGCCAAAAAGATGTTACATATATGTCACCAATGTCATCTGGCCCTCATTCTCATGTACAGATATTTAAACACCACAAACACAGAGTGGATTCATATTCCGGAATAAAAAATGTGTACATCGCTACAAAATATGCCAGTATTGGTAGTGATCTAAAACCATAGGTCTAGCCATGATCTCAGCAAAATCTTGACAGCGAGTCCACTAACACTGAAACATGAGAAGCCATCAGGGGTAGGCACAAAAGAAATTATCTTTATTACTTATGAGAAACATACTAGGGAAAGAGATGAAAATGACTGCAAAAGAAAAGCTTACCACAGACACAAGAACAACCAGTGATGCCACAACTGCCACAGTGATCCCAAGAACAAGTCCTGTGCTTTCCTTTCCCTCTTCCTTTTCAAGGGCTGAGGAAGTTTGGTTTCCAGGAGGGGCAGACTCGGTGGACGATTCCTCTGAAGTGCCCTCTGGTTTCGAATCTTCAGTAGGTTGGACAATAATTGTCGGTTCGGTAGTTTCAGCCTCCCCAGCCTTTTCACCAGTGGTCTGTTCCGTGGCTACAGTAACAGAGCCACTCTGTTCTTCTGGAGCTAGAAAAAGAAAATAAGGGAGAAAAATTGGCTTAATAAATGAAAAGTTCAAAAAATTGTAGTTTAGTTCACACTCACTCGCTACCACAATCCCAACCCACCCCCCACCACAAACCTTTACACCTACAGGACTGAGGACCAGAATACTTGCGAAGCCTGACCACTTCCCCAGGACCACGGACCAGTACATTCGCAAGTGAAATAACCTAGATCTTAACAAAAATTTATGCTTTCATTAACCCACTGATTAGACAAAGCTTCTGATTTCTGGAAATTAAATGTACAAGGCGATAAAACGAGTTTAGAAAAGGTATTTCAATGAAGCTATGATCCTCGGCTTAATTTGTAGGAGACGGACAGTGTTGACTTGGACAATGACTGATTATTTGGATTGAAAGAATTCAAATTAAGAAGGAATGAAATATCTGGATTTAGTTATCATTGGTTGAGGAGCAATTTACTTTATAAATATAGGTCTAGTTCTAGTACTGACTCCGTACAAAAACTTACTACTACATGAATGATTACACCGAAATACTCATCAAAATATTTTTTCTACGAAATTTTTAAAAAATCTTTTAAGTATCAAAGCATAATTGTAACCATAGAAAACGGTCTAACAGGCACAACTGGGGGCTCTCAAGGTCTAAACCCAACAGTGACAGAAAATTTTCTTCCTCTCTAAAATTTTCAACTTTCACCTCCTTTCCTGCTCTCTAACAATCTTCTTTCGTCTCCACTTTCTTCCCTCACCCCCCTCTTCTAGGCTCCCAACTCTTTATGCAGCCTTTCTACTGCTACTCCTTGGCTCCTTCTTACTGATGTCTTTCCACACCATCCTCCCCCCCCAAAGCAACACTGGAAACAAACAACAAAACCCATTACATTCATCCGACTGGTAAACATCACATCCATTAACCCTATTTCGTCCGGGACAGCAATATTCCAAGTATTCATCTCCCAAATCTGTAAATTCATTTCCCTTACCAACTTCACATTTTGAAGATGTCTTCAGTATCATGCCGTCAGGACAAGCACATTCCATACGTCTTGATAAAACTTTATCACTCTCATCATTGACAGGTACAGGCAGGCACAGATGGCTACATCCACCATTGTTGTCCCCGCAGTGGCTGTCCACTGAAACAAACAAAATATTGAGAAATTTAATATATTATCACGAACAGAAGGGCAGGATAAATACCAACTTTCATTTTTATTCTTTCACCTGATATTTCATATAAAATATCACTTTGAAATTTGTCCTTGCAGAAATACAAATTTGAAAAATTAAAAACTTTCATTTACTTTCATGGACTGTTGCAATATTTTTTGCAAATAACACTAATTCCTATGCTTGGAAACATAGCTTGAAGCTCACCACAGACAAACCACAAACATCAATTTTGTATACAAGAATGACACATCCTCATAGCATAATGGTAGCTTATATGCTTACAAGAAAAACAAATTTAAGACTCACTTGAAGGTTGTCTAAAGATATGGTATACATGGATATCCATGGGCGATTTCAGGTTGAGAGCAATGTTTGTGACTGCAGCCGAGCTATTTCCCTCAGTATGGCCAAACTTGCTTGTCTTGTGAATGCCATCAGACATCCAGTCTGTCCAGTAAAGAAAGTCTTCAAACACTGTGATGGCGAAAGGGTGAGCTACTTTCACAAAATCCTTGAGAATCACATGGAAGTCCTTTCCATTCAAGTCAGAGCTGCCAATGATGTGAAGCTTGGCATCCACCCAGTACAGACGATTGTTAGTGTAGTCTGAGAAAACAGCAAGACATTTTCAAATGAGTAACAGTTTTCAATGGAGCTGTTTCCCTCAAATTTCCCATTTCAAGAAGATTCAGGATCAATTTCAGGAATTTTGGCTAAAAATCAGGTTGTACAAAGGCAAAGAATCGGGGGAGGAAAAAAGACGAGCGTTACCCCAGTAAAAGTTGTTACCATTCAGCTGAGCTGGTTTCTAGCAATAGGTCACTTAAAAATTTTGAGTGTGTGCCTGTGTGGGTGTATGTGGATATGTGTGTTTGGGTGTGCATATGAAAGGGAAGAATGTTGATCAAACAAGATGGGTTTTTTCTTTGTTTGTTTCTTTAGCTTGATTGATCGAATGAGTAGGTGTTTTACGGCACTAACAACTCAGTGTGTTGTTTCTTTAGAACATTTATGGACTTTTGTTCAAGGATCTCAGCAATCAGTATTGACTATTGAGCTATCTTCAAAATAATAAGTAAATCTGACTGCAGAAATGTTTTCTCCACCCAAAAACATATTAGGTAGCCTAGTCTCTTTTCCTAACACTCCAATTGATTACAGAGGTGTCGTCAATTTTCTTACAGAATCTGCTGTCACGTGGTCCACTTTTTCGGTGTATTTTCCTCTGTGTGGGTCATCCACATTTTGCCGACCTTTACAACCCTAGAACTTTTTTTATTTATAAACCGATTCTTTAAATTCAAAAGGCATAATTCTTAACATTGAAAACACTTTCTTAGGTAACAAATAAAAAAGGGCTAGGCAAAAAATTAATTTTTCATTGGCATTGCTCAAAAGACATTCTATAAAATGACATCGTGTAGATTAATCTCTTACCGATAGTCAAACCATTTGGCCAGATAATATTCCTGTTCACTATCTCTTTCCTCTCTTTGCCGTTCATGCCGCATTTTTCAATCTTTGGCTGCTTGCCCCAATCAGTCCAGTAAATCCAACTGAAAATGAAAAAAAATTAATTTAAATGCAAAAGAAAGCAACATTCTAAAATGAAGAATCAAACCAATGACAACATTAGAAAAAGTGCAATATTTTTTGTTTTGGCAAATGTTTTACGGTGCTCACAACTGCATATGGTCATATGAGCGCGCAGAACACATTAAACATTTCAGTTTGGTAGGAATAAATTTTGAATTCTGCCAGCGTGGCAGCCAAAACCTACTCTTTATCTTGGACTACCAAGGGACCTTTCATGTGGGCGACTTGCACACAGGACCTCCGATATTTTTCGCCCTTATCCGAGAAGGCTAGGTAGGTGTTCGATTTTACCTACCCTAAGATCAGGGGTGTTTAGTATTTTAGTTTTAGTACAGTTGTACCTCGCTCATAAACTGAATAAAGTCATATGAGCGCTAAGAGATATGGATGCCAACATCTATCCTCAACAGCACAAAATATGCTTTGACTCAACTATCAAGGCACCCCAGAAATAGCAGTTTACAAGGAAGTGACAAACATACAAAAGAAATAGAGGAAAAAGGATGAGGAAAGAAAGCAGTTCCCCCTATGTTGTTCCGGCACAGTATAAGCATGAAATTGATAAACCAGCTCATCTACAATTTTACTGTGTATACGAATATGTTAATATCCCTGCTTTGGGAATGGCCTAAAGACACTGGGGGGTAAGGGATCAAGGGTGTGGCTGAAAGACAATGGGGGGGGGGGATGTATGAGCAGAAAGTGGAGACAAAAGCACACGATAAAAACACTGTTAGAGAGCAGGAAAGAAGGTGAAGAAATTTTTTTTACAGGTTTCAAACCCGGGACCCATTAAATGAGAGGCGAATACCGTAACCTCTGGACCAAAGTGCAATAAGTATACTGAATTAGATTTTTAACTCATAGGAAGTCAGCAGGACAACAGGTACATATTGCAAGGATTTAGTAAGTCCTACGGCAATTGCAATACAATAAGGCCATATGAGTGCAGAGTGCCGAAGATTAGAGGTGTTAAAAGAGAGTAACAAACACAAAAAAAGGAGGACAGATGAGGAAGATAGATTTTTTTTATAGGAAGACTGGGTAAACCACACCAGAGCAGCCACCAACCACCCAATTACAACGTCTAGTTCTCTGTATGAGTGAGTGTACAATATTTAGTTTTAAAATTTTTAATGATACCCATTAAGCTTGGAAATCTCATCAGTCTTGTATGTAGAAGTCTGAAATCCATAGCCTCAGAGTAAAAAAAAAATATGAACTAAGAAACAGACAGAAAACCAAACAATTAGATTTATGGAACTCACCCTCTCTTGGGATCAACAACAAGGGCTCTTGGCTCATCCAGATCCTTAGAAGCAATAGTTTTACGATGGGAACCATCCATACGAGCCACCTCAATGCAATTGCGACCGGTGTCAGATAAATACAAATTCTGGTGTACCCAATCAACAGCAAGCCCATCAGGCCGAGTCAAATTTTCCTCCACGATCGTCTGCACTTCATTGGTTTTAAGGTCCACTCTGAAATATGAAAGTCATTATCTTAATAAGAGACATCATCTCAGCCTATTCTTTCTTACCTCTGGGATAATAAAGTACTATCTTATCTGATCTCTTTCTTATTTATGCTTTATAGACATTGTCCTAACTTTCTGACTTTCATAACCGAAGAAAAATAAAGACAGTAGTGCACAGTAGATTCAGGGTCAATTTCAGATAGTTTGGCCCACAATCAGGAAAAAGGACTAATAAGGACAACAAAACCCCAGTACAAGTAGTTACCATCAAACAGAGAAAGCCTCTTAAAATACGCGATTATATTTCTAAAATTTTACATGTTTTACGCCCGTGTGTTACACATGCACGTTTGTGATTTTGGAGTGCATAATGTGAAGGTGCAAAAAGATGGAATGAGATTTTAACATACTTTATTGGCTGTCATTCGAGGCACAGTATTATATGTGGATTTGAGAGCAAAGTGACCACCAAAACGTACCAATAAAGATTATAATAAAACACAAATTCCTACTCATATCATGTGGTGCTCATGCACAATGGAAGTTCAGTTTCATTAAACAATTTTTGGAGGGGGGGGGGGGGGAGATGAACTAACCAGAGCTTGGGCGAACAGCATCTGCTGACACCACTTTTATATCCAACACCACTTTTAAAGGGTGTGTGTGTGTGTGTGCCTTTTAATGTGTGTGTGTATGTGTGTGTGTGTGTGTGTGTGAGAAAATGTGTGTGCCCATTGTTGTTGCCCGAATTTTTGGGGGGGGGGGGGGGGGGGGGGGGGGGGGGAGATGAACTAACCAGAGCTTGGGCGAACAGCATCTGCTGACACCACTTTTATATCCAACACCACTTTTAAAGGGTGTGTGTGTGTGTGTGCGTGTGAGTGTGTGTGTGTGTGTGTGTGTGTGTGTGTGTGTGTGAGAGTGTGTGTGCGCATTGTTGTTGCCCGTATTTTTGGGGGGGGGGGCAAGGTTGGGTGTTTTTTTGTACTAAAGACCCTTTTCATACTCACGAAAAGATTTTCAGTTTCTCCACATCAGTCCAGAAAACCTTGTTTTTGCGTATATCAAAATCCATTGCAACTGCGCCTGTGACTTCTTTTTCTAACAGACGAGAATAATGATAGGTATCCAGGTGATAGCGCCTCAGCTCATGTCGCTCTGATAAGATGAGTTCAGGGCGAGCACCTGTCAGAAATTCAAACCACATTTTTAAGCAAAGCAGGATAGTAAATCAGAAAAAAACTTTCTCAGCAGTCTGAGTTCAACAAATCAGAAAAATCCAACGTGAGCGATAACAGGCATATCAGATGCATTTCAGATACACTATATTCAGGTCTGCCCACCCACTAAAACATTTTAGTATTAGACATAAAAAATTAGAAATATGGCTATGATAGTCTTTCCTCTAGGGTATTAAAACAGGAATATTTATGTTAACAAAACCGGACACCTTGCAAGCCTATTTGTGCATCACTACAAACCATGTCTTGCACCACAGCTGATTGTTTCAAACAATTACCTTTTTTTTTTCTTCGTAGACCATCAAAAACAATGCAAAGCTCAGGAATTTTTTGACAATTGTCATATCAATGTTTGCCCTATTCCTGGCTTTGGCGAAACTTACGTCTTACTTCGGGCAAAGTGGGACTGAGCAACTACAGGGGTTCTGAGCACAAAGAGTGTTGGTGTTAATGTTAGACATCAGCAATCACAAAGTGACATGTCCGAGTACGATTGTTTCTTCCTTTACGCCAGGAGGGCAGAAATGGGTAAGGGTAGCTGAACGACAAATTTTTACTTTTAAAAATCGAAATCAGGTGTTAAAATTGTAAATTCATAAAACAGAAAAAAAAACTAGCGATTTCGCCAAGTTCGTAATAATCGGCAGCCCTGTACAGTACATACAATACAGCACACCAAAAGCTAATAATATATAAAACTGCGTACCTTCATTTGCCTTGCAGTAACGATGATTGGTCATCACATATCCAGAAAAGCATTCACACTTGTAAGAACCCTTGACGTTTGTGCACACTTGAGAGCAGGTTCCTGGAATGCTACACTCATCAATGTCCTTACACAATGTCTCACCGGACAGTTCATAGCCATCACTGCACTTGCATTCACGGCCGCTGCCTTTAGGGACACAGATTTGTGAGCATCCTCCATTCTTTGTTTTACTGCATGCATCTATGAAAATAAGAAATAAAAAAATGTTCAATACAAAGGTAAGTAACAGATTAGACTTCGTGACAATGGAAATTTAATTTCTGAAAGCTTAAGTTTAAAGTGCACTCACTGAAGCTGCCAAACTGATCAAATGAATGATAATTTTAACAAATTTTCTCCACCTGCAATACACGCTAGGCAAATTATTTTTCCACTGCGTTAAAACATTGCTTCATTTTTTTCCCCCCAAAGATTCAAGCACACACACAAAAACATTGAACATGACTTTTCAAAATTATTTATTATTATTATAGTAGAGGGTTTTACAGCGCTCGCAACTGCATAAGGTCATATGAGCGCCAAGGGGTGGGTGTCAACCCAGAAGTCTTTACAGGGAATCAAGACACTCTGCTCACCTCTCTAGCTTCAACAGCACAAAGTCTGTTTCATCTATCAAAGTACCCCAGAAATAGCAGGTCACAAGAGAGTGACAAACATACAAACGAAGTAGAGGAAATGATAATAGTAAGGATTAGGAAAGAAAAAACAGCAGTTCCCTGTTGTAGATCAGGCACAGTTATGAGCGTGACATGAATCAGCCCATTTACAATTCTACTGTGCTTGAACGAGAAATGTCCCCCCTTTGGGAATGGCCTAAAGACACTACAGTCAGTGGCACTGCCCAGGGGTACTTTTCAAAATGATGGGACTATCTGTTATACATCTCTCTTCTGCTTGCAACATACTAACTAGCTAACAAGATCAAAAACTCACAATATATGCCTGCCTTCATTCTATTTTCAACAAAATATAAAAATATGTAAGTATGCCAATATCAGGAAAAGGTTGAATGAAAACAAAGAAAGGGTAGCAGAATGCCTGAGCAGCCGGCAGAACTTTGCTTCATTATTTCACAGCATGTTAGTACAACAAAGGCAAGTCTAACTGCTCCTGGGAGGCTGAATACACTGAAAGTAGTACTTATGTACAAAGTGGTTTAATTTTTTTTAGTTTAAGTGTTTTACGGCACTTTCAACACAATAAGGTCATATAAGTGCCGAAGATTACAGGTGTTACAAGAAAGTAACAAACACAAAAAAGAAGGAGGGGAGATAAAGACGATAGAAGTTTGACAGTAAAGAAGAAGCACGCCACACCAGAGCACCCATCAAGCACCCGCATAGATAGTTTGAGAAACCTTCCCAACCCAAAATCAATTAAAATACCACTATATGCAATGATCAAAAGTTGACCACTAAAGATAATTCAAAAGAACAAATTAAGACAACATCAAGTGTGAGGTGCAAAGTCTAAAAATAGCATTAGTTCTCTGTGAAGACGACACCACGATTTGTCCCACGAACAGTATAGAAAATTTGACAATAATCTGAATGTCATGTTCAAAGAATTTATCCCCACGTTTCACACAAGGGGGAACAAGGAGGTCTGGACATGACACCAAACATTACAAACATCAAACCACCCCATTTAATCTCAAAAACAGAAACTGGTACCCAACATGAAACTCAGATCTGGAATTTTCAAAAGGGTCATCAATGCCAAGCTAAGATCAAGATTATTAGTGATACACTTTTCTACTGCTACAACAGCCAAACATCCAGACACAAATTGGAGATTGTTTCCAAGAAGACAGCACTCATTTATCAATTCAAAGGACCCAACTGTACAGCTTCCATAGCTTGTTCACTTTTGTCTGTCCTCGTTAAAAATATTCTAGCTCATTTGTTAATAATTTACCATTGCCCACGATACTTGGCATGGCACTTTTGCAGGCCAGCGACCAAACAAAAAATATTTTTCAAAAAAATCTTGACCTAGTAAAAAAAAAAAAAAAAAGTTTTCTCTTTGAGCCCTAGATTAAAAACCGTTCTTTGGATGCATACACAGGATAACTAAAATAAATGACTTACAGCAACCTTGCCTACAACCTTCTGATTTTGAGACAGGAACACCATCCTGTCCCCACTTTTCAGTGTAACCATTTATATTTCATCCCCCAGAGGTCTAGACATCTCGATGTGCTCCACATGAGTCTTGAAAATTATTCATCTGTCATCTCATCTCTTGAATCCTGTTTCTAAGGTGCCCGTTAAAGTGTAGTGGTTGAGGAAAGCATGTCAGCTTTTGAATGTTTTAGGAGTATGCTGTAAATCCCCTATTATTTTTTTGATCCGCAATAGGCTTACATCAATGGAAACGTGTCGGAACCTTAGTTTGAAGTGTCCTTTATGAACCATGGGCTTTTAGATTCTGTTGGTCATCCAACTTTTAGCGAGAAGATTACACGGTGCGATTTCCTTTTAATCTTGTTTTAACAGCTGTCAGACAAAAGTGAACAAGCTATTATACACAAGCTTCATTATCCAGGCCATGATCACTACATATTTTCCATTACATTTGAAGACCACAACAAAAGAGGTAGAAATTTACAGTACAGAGCACCCACTAGAAAAACATATAAAGATACAACATCAACCCTACCATCATCCCCAGCTGCAAATTGAAAATAAATGTTAATAAATGACTTCTGTTCATACAACTTTGAAACACAACAGAACTTGACAGTTCAAAATGAAATGATCTCAATTTCTCTGAAACACTACAGTGCAAACCCAAATACCAAATCTTTAAAATAAAAAAACAGATTGTAGAAAGGAATGCACTTTTTTTACAATTATTTTTTGAAAGGGTATCAAAAGCAAAATTATGAAAACTGGCCAATCAAATGTATATTCTCATACTAACAAAAAATAAGCTATTCTGCTTCTCTGTAAACTTAGTTCTCCGGAATCAAATACAGAACTCCCATTTCTTTCTCCAATACCTTTCATTTACTCAAACACAGTTTTGGTAAAAAATATGGCCATCTACAACAAAAGTTTACAGATAAACAGCATTTCAAAGGGATAAAAAAAAGAGTCATATACAGTCACACCTAGTAACCCCCTTCCCCCCTCGTTTTATCGCCAAGTTTTGTTCATATATGAAAAGGGGGGGGGCGCCTATATAAACACAACACCACCTCAGCCTGTCTGCAAAATTTGTTTAGTTTTAGTATGAGTTTTACGGTACTTGCAACACAATATAAGGCAAGACCCGAAGATTAGAGGTGTTACAAGAGAGAGTAACAAACACAAAAAAGAAGGAGGGGAGATATGGCATCGCTAAATATCAGCCCAATAAAGAAAAGGCTCGCGGGCTTTACAGCCAACTTCATGCTCATCCCAAGGTAGGCGGTATAACACTTAAGTTCCTTTAGAGAAAAAACAAAAACAAGTAGCATAACAAAAATAGCAAATGTAAATTACGTGGACAAGAAGGAGTACTTAATTGCACAATTATCAAGCAAGAGAAAGTGAGATCTCATTTGTTTAAAAGAATATGGATGTTGTACAGTGAAGGGAAAAGAAAGACATTTAAAACTAATAAATATGGAATAAAGCAGACAGCACAATTAACAGAAGAAAATATTCAATATAATAAAATAAATAGTCGCCTCTTACTCTCTTCTGGACAAACGGCAGGAGACTCGTCATGTCCATTGGAGCAGTCTCGACTCTTATCACACAAAAGAGCATCAGAAATGCATTCTTGTCCATCGCCCTTGCAGTCGAACTCCCAGTCCTTGCAACTTAGTGAAGGCTCAGCTGAAGTAAATAACATTTTCCAGTTTAAGTCATTACAATATGAGTAAGGTCTATCTATAAATATTATATGAAATACTTTGATGCAAGAAAAATTATCCTAAAATTTAGAAAAATTTGACAAAACAAACTGTTTAATAAGAAAAATGTTACGTTCAATGTTTTGGCTCGTAACTTTGCACTTGCAGCTTGTACTTAATAGCCTGTACAAAAACTATTCAAACACTCACAAAATTATTTTTACACATCAAGAGCAACGTTTATTTCAAATTTCCATTTTTTCTTCTAAATTTGAAGAAATGCATGCTATAGAAAAAAGTGTAGCTTTCTTTTAAGAAAAACTACTAGAGTCCTGCAATAACCATCCAGTTAAAAGGGGTCATTGGGAAACTTGAAGACGGGTACCAAAAGGTCGCTTTTAAGGACAAGCGGGCTAACCCAAATTTCCGGGGTTTCCAGAAATCATGACCAATACCAAAAGTTGGCACTGCCCACCCTACCTATAGGACAATGTTTTTTTTTGGGGGGGGGGTTAGTGTTTTACGGTGCTCGCAACTGCATATGGTCATATGAGCGAGCAGGACACATTAAACTTTTTCAGTTGGTAGGAAATTTTGTATTTTGCCTGGGTGATGGCCGAAAGTCTACTCTTATTGATTGTAGACCACCAAAAGATCTTTAATGTGCGCAACTTGCACACAGGCCCTCCAAGATTTTTCTACCTTGTCCGAGAAAGCTAGGTGTAGATCTTTTCTTTCCTACCAGAAGATCAGGTGTGTGGCTGAAAGACAGCAGTTTGAAGAAGCCAAAGAGTAGCAGTAGAAAGGCTGCAGAAAGGAGTCAGGAGCCCAGAGGAAGGGGCAAAGGATGTGCGGGGGTGGGGGCAGAAAGAGGATATGAAAGCAGACGACAGAACATTGCGAGAGAGCAGGAAAGGAGGTGAAAGGAGACAATTTTAGAGAAGAAATTTCCCGGTCGATACCCGGATTCGAACCTTTGAACCTCTAGGCCACGAGAGCCCCCCTAGGAGAAGTTTGGTTTCACTGGTGTGTATATTGGTTTAGATATAAAGAAAGCTCCCCTTGTCTTTTAAAGAAACTGAACAAGGGGCTAAAACTTTACTTTCGATTTTCTCGTAACAGCATTTTTTGGGATAGCTCCCTTTTGCTTAAAAGCGATTATTACATGATCAAAAAGTAAACAATTCAATAAGAAAGTTTACATACTGATGTTGCAGTTTTTCTCATCTGTTTCATCTTGACAATCAACATCTCCATCACAAAAATATATCTCTTTGACGCAGTTGTTTGTGTCACATTTCCTCTCTCCTGGTTCACAAGTATGCTCAGGACCTGTAAATAATATGATCATTTTTTGAGTCAGCATCATAGTTGTGAATGAATGTTCATTTCGGTGTCCTTTTAATGAAAATAGGTCAACTCTATGTTTTAAGTGTATGCTGTATATCTCCCCCCCCCCCTTTATTTTTTTTGTTGGGGGGAGGGACTCGCTTTCAGTCAACATCACAGAAAACAGAACCTTAGTTTGCAGTGACCTTTAACTGGCTGTTAAATTCTGTCGATTCTCTTTAGACCTGCATGCAAAGATCAAAGAAGATGAAAGAGAGTGATTTGTTTTATCTTGTTTTAAACAATGGGCAGAAGGAAGTTAAAAAGCTATACCAACAAAGGACACTAATTGTCTAATTAACTTTCAAGCAACACAATTAACTAAGCAAATTGAAATCTTGTTAATAAAAAGGTAAAAAAAACTGAGGTATGAAAATAATCGGACACATAATACTTACAATCGAGTTCATCACTGTTATCTCCACAATCCTCTTCACCATCACACTTCCATTGCATGTTGATGCATTCTGGGCTGATCAGTGGACCATGGCACTGGAATTGTGTCGGTGAGCACGACGAAGCCTGTGGCAGAACCAGAGCAGTTTACTATCTGTGATGCCTTAGTATTATGAAATCTATAAAATGTGTTTCCATCTTTTTAAAATGACAGTTCCAACATCTTTTAAAAATGTGTTACGAGGGTTTGCATGGATTTGACTTCTAAAATATTTTATTTAGAATTATTTTGAGGGCAGGGTTCTTTTTTTTTAATTATGAAAACAGCTTTAAAAAGGCGTTGAAATCTATTCTTAAAGCATGTTTTCTCTTCCCCGCTATGTTTTACCATTGAATTCTAATCATGATATTGATGTCGACAAAATGCCAAATTGGTAATGAATTTTCCATGAATAAATACATAAGAAACATTGAACCAGGTTCCTTTTCAAGTTTGGATGTGTTCTAAACTTCAACGCTAATTCTTTCAAAATTAAATCTTCATATCCTACCTTGCAAAATGTGCAATATCTTAAATTTAAAAAACCACTGTGTTCAGAACTGAATTTCCTATAAGGTACAACCCTCAACTCAAAATGGTCAAAATATGACTTTTGGTACCTTTCTTCACATTTTTTAGAGAATAAAATTTTCCATTGCTGACAGGTTTCAAACCCAAGACCCATTGAATGAGAGGCGAACACCACACCTTTGCACCTTTAGACCACGAGAGATCCCCCCCCCCCCCCTTTTTTTTTAAAAGCCTTATACATGCATAGAGCAATCAATATAAATTGAAATAAGTAGGTTCCTAAGAGGGTCCAAAGTTATCTCTTCTGATGCTCATAACTATGATGACAAAATGTCACCACGCTTATACACAGAAGGAAATGACCTTATCTGACGTAATTCTCAGGAAACTAGTCAGCAAGATCTTAATCTTAATATGTCAGTACGGTATACAAATTTATTTTTTATTTTTTTCAAAGACTTGATACTGGTGTAAAAAGTTGTAGACATACCACCTTCAAACATGTCATTCAAATTGTATCCCTAAAGATTTCCTGTCATCATGGTTATTTCACAAAATATTCATTTTGTTGCTGTAATTTATGGTTATGAAAATAACATATATTACCTACATATTCATGACATTGAACCTGAAAGGAAGTAGATCTTAATTTTTTTCCTCTGCAACATGTTTAGGAGTGCCAGGTTCTGGCAAAGGCTCACCTCTTCAAGAACACTTTTTGAGCAGTTTGATTCATCCGACCTGTCTTTGCAGTCTCCCTCTCCATCACACCACCAAGAATCGGTGATACATTCACCATCATCACATTGCTTCTCTCCAATGTCAGAGCATTCCGAGACGGCTGTGAATAAATAATGTAAAAACATAAATATTCACTTTTGTCCGACAAAAAAATGTATGTTTCAACTTGTCATGGAAAATAATGTTATACTTTTCAATGATTAGGCAAGCCTCACAGAGAAAAATATTTGAAAATATTAACACTACTGCCCAACGTTAATACTAAATTTCAGCTTTTTTCTAGCAGATGCAGCATTTTCTCTCGGTCACTAATATTTACTTATTTTTAATCAGGAGTACTTACGGCAATCCTTTTCATCAGAACCATCATCACAATCTTCATGATGATCACATCGCCAAGATACGGAAATGCACTTCTTGTCGTTGCACTGAAATTCTGACCGGTCACACGTGATCACATCGTCACACCCTGGATGAAAACACAGAGATTTATGTAAACAGCAAGGTCATACATTCATTCATAGTTGTACTCATGAAATACACCCACAGTTTATGGAACCCAAAAGCAGACATTTCCCACAGCGTCACTTTTCACTTTTAAAAGACTTCAATGGATGACAGTGGAAATTCTAGCAGACCACAATATTTACCTACCCTCTTCATCTTCTCCATGGGGACAGTCTTCCTCATTGTCACACTTCATTTTCATGGGAACGCACCTCCCACTCTTGGAGCACTTGAAGTCATGTTCCCCACATGTTTGGTTTACTGAAGGAGACATAAGACAAAGCTTTTGATAAAACAGCCTTCAAAACAATATCTAAAACTTCAATGGTAAAGTATGAACAGATGTCGATAGTCCCCCAGAGAATCACTTAAAACCAAGATCATCAAATTGTAGATTTATCAATGTGAAATAAATTGAAATGATCTTTACAGTAGCTTGATGCTCAGTTTTCTCACATTTTCAGGACAAAATGATTGTCCCACATGCAGGACTAATTGTAAGACAAACCAAACTGTTAATTCCAACTAGCAATTCGCTGCGATTTGGCCCGGTAATAAGGCTTGTCATGCATAATTTTTGGGCCCAGTATGTTCAAAATTAGATCCAAGTAGTCTTTAAGCAAAGATGTGTTTTTATTTGGTAAGTGTTTTACAGAGCTGGCAACTGCATATGGTCATATGAGAGCACAGAATGTCAAGCATTTTCAGTTTGATAGGAAATCATTTTAAGTCTTATTGACAACCAACGAATCTTTAATGTGCACAACTTGCACATGGGACCTCCCGAGTTTTTTTCGCCCTTTCGATCTTTCAAACACTAAGATCAGGGGTGTAGCTGAAAGACTGAATTAAGAAGCCAGGACCAACAGCATAAAGTGGAGATGAAAACAGTGACAACATAATTAGAGAGCAGAAAAGGACATAAGGTAGAACATTTTAGAGAAGAAAAATGTTCCTTCACTGTCAGGTTTTAAACCCAGGATCCGGAAACAGGTGTTAAAAACTTAAGAAATTTGGGAATTAACCTGCATCACAAGCTCATGCAAGATACAAGTCCTAAAGATCCAAAGTAAAAAAAGACATTGAAAAATTGATAGAACTAGATCTAGATTCTGCACACAAAAATCACACATAGATACCATGGTTCATTCATATTCTACTCCAATTCACTACTGCCCTCTTAACATTGTGACTCATTGTCTCCCTCAAAATATGTCAAGAATAGTCCTGCTTTTTTGTGAGATTCTCAAATATATACAGAAGCCAATAACTTTTTTTTTCCTTAATGGAATTTTTAAAATTCAAAATCGAAGTACTAAATGTTAACAGCCCTTTCATTAAATTAAAGCTTGTTGTAAAGCAATTTTTGTAATTACTTTTCCAACTATAAACCTTAAATGTGTAACATCTTAAATGTGTAACATCTTAAATGTGTAACACTTTAAATGTGTAACAGACTCCCCCTTTCAAAACAGCAGCAATGATAAATTAAACCTAAATCACATCTGTACAGCCAATGAATGCATGGTACAAGGAAAAACTTACAACACATCTCAGGGTCTTCATCAGACTTTAAGCCATCTTTACAGTCATCAAACTGATCACAAGTCCAGCGGTGAGGAATGCATTTGCCACTCGTACATTGGAAAGAGTTTTCCGAACAAGTAGTTGCCGCTGCGAAGGAAAAATATTGTATTTGATTAAATCAAAAAAGGCTATTTAAGACCACATGTATATCATACTACAAAACGACTACAGAACCTGACCCAAGATGCCATGATAATATTGACAATATTCTGTCATCATTTTTTTTTTCAAAAGAAACTTAAGACTTCCCTTCTACTTCTGTGATGGTTAGAATTTAATTATAGAAAAGCAAGCCCATATTAGCAAATGAGCAGTAGGTATGTTGAATATGGTCACTTTTAGGCACAAGTGGTCTATCCCGAAAAATGCTGTTTTGAGAAAATTGAAGTTTTTGCCCCTTGTTCAGTTTCTTTAAAATACAAGGAGAGTTTTTTCTATAACCAAACAAATATACGCATCCATGAAACCAAACTTCCCCTATATAGATAGGTAGAGCAATGCCTACTTTTATGTAGACTTTTGGAAACCCCCGAATCTGGAAGCCCGCTTGTCCTTAAAAAAAACGACCATATATATATATATTATATAAACATATATATATATAAATATAAATGAAACCTACCACATCACTTCAACTAGCCTATCTGCAGAAAGACTTTCACCAACTTTCCACCCCCCCAAAACCAACTCAACCACTATTGCTATGATTAGGCCTACACCTTTATGAAAAATTTCACTTTAAATAATCACAAGAGGACATTTTCAACAATCAACACGGAATGTTTGTGTATGCATGAACAATTGTGCATTGTTATGAATACATTTCTTTAGTTTAGTTTTTGTAGAGGTTTTATGGCGCTCGCAACTGCATAAGGTCATATTGAGCGCCAGAAGATTAGAGGTGTTACATGAGAGTAATGAACATAAAAAAGAAGAGGAGGAGATAAGGACGATAGAAGTTTGATAAGAAAGAAGAAGCAAACCACACCGGAGCACCCGCCCACATAGATTTCTTAACCTATCGGTGGCTTATCTGTCAAAGTCAGTGGTCTACCGATTTTTTCTGTGGGGTTGGCAGATACGCTATCCCCACGGCTACAACTACTGTATTTAATTAAAGAGTTAATGGACAATTTTCGTTTGTGCCTTTTTACAAGATCCTTTAGACATCACAATATCGATGCTGCGAGTTTTAATAGAGGGGGGTAATAAATTTCAACATAAACAGGCCTTATGATACCTCAGGCAGGTAGGCTATATCTACAGCCTGCGGAACGCGTTTTGTTGAATATTTATTAAATAGCCAAATCGAAGTCAAGTGTTCAAACAGGCCCTGCAGACTTCCCCCTTGCCAGACAGGTAGTATGATCGTATCGACCTTCGCCTTCCAGCCACGTTTTCCCACCCTCGACACTCTATGGCAACAACTCCCCTCGCAACTCCTCGCCCCACGCCGGTCGATGTATCCCAACACGCGCTGCGAACAGGCGATCGCAGCACACGTTCGGTATTTGACCTCATGTCAGTACACAGCACGAGGGGACACTGCCCACGTATTCGAGACTCCCGATTGGCTGAAAATCTAGGTCACAAACTCAGGCGAGAGAGGAGAGCCAATCAGAACGGACGGAAGATAATGCGTAATTGACCTGACCGGTAGGGCTTACCCGTTTACAAACCACGTTGATTGTTACAAATACAATGGGCGGCATTTTGAATTAGCAAACGCTACAATTATTGATTTCGCTAATTTTCCTTTCAACTTTAATCACAATAGACTTCAAAACAAAGTTGTACAAAACAACACAGGCCCGAACAGCAAAATTGTTCAAGTTTACAAATGACCTATTAGAGATTTTTTTTACGTTTCATTCTTGTTTCCTCCCCCACATTTCAACACTCAACCTAGAGATCTAGATTAGATTTCGAGATCTAGAATCTAGATATCTATATTTAGTGCACGGCTTCTGGAAGGCAAGTGGCGACACTCGATCTAATGTCAGAGGGTGCATGAACTTCCATTTCAAAATGATACGAGACTTAACAAAGCACGGCAATGCACGTAAGAAAAAAGCCGAAAAAATAACGGACCGTAGCCTAGTACAGCTGAGCAATGGAAACCCAACACCACAACATGACTCAGTTTTAGTTTTAGTAGAGGTTTTACGGCACTCACAACTACTGCATGAGGTCATATGAGCGCCAGAAGATTAGAGGTGTTACAAGAGAGTAACAAACATAAAAAAGGAGGGGAGAAAAGGACGATAGATGTTTGATAGAAAAGAAGGAGCAAACCACACCAGAGCACACGTCAACCACCCGCTAAGAACATGACTCAGTCAATTAAGTTAACATATATATATGACCGACAACACTACAAAGAAAAATCTAGCTGGTGTGCTCCTAGATCTACCTCCCATAGAAACAATCTCCAAAATTCTGATCATTTCTGGATTTAACGCCTAGATTCTAGATCTAGATCAACAATAGACAAAAATTACTTATTTTATTTGAAACCCAGCAATGAGCAACAATCTAACATGCTGTTCACTAGATCTAGATATCTAGAGATATCTAGATCTAGACCATCTTTGCTTGAAATATTCTAAATTCTGAGCCTGTGCATACTTTAGCCGACAATAGGCCCTATAAATTTGTCCTTTTGAAAAGTGACTAACCCCATAGGCCTACAGAGTTTGCCTAATTGAGCCAATGCTCAACAGTACAAAAAGCAAACAGGAACATTCATTTGATCACCAGCTCTTGTCCCCACAAATGCACCAAGACACTAGATTCTAGATGTAGTCTAATAGTAATAGCATAACCCCCCCCCCCCCCCCTAAATACCACTGTACAAGAAAAACCATTTTAAATCAAGATTAAAAAATAGATTACAAACTTAGATCTATTTAGCTTTCCTTTCTGTGTTCATAGGCTAATAATACAATTGATAAAAAAAAGGACTTGGCCCTATAATCTACTCCATTTTGATTGCTGATAGACCTTTAAAGAGGGTCAAATTGGCGTAGATCTACGATTAGATCACAACTTTAAAGTCAAGATGTTTGAAGTGAATGTGAAGTACCCAGAATTGATCTAATCTAGATCTAGATCTAGAAGTTTGAAAAGAATACTCGGCACTCCTTGGATATGGAGGTCCCGACTTTTATGACAGGGAAATAACCCGGAGAAAATCTAATCTAGAATTTAGTTTTGACGCCACCAACGATTACTTTTTGATGCGGGTGCCGATATGGAGAGATAGCCTATCAAACCTAATAGCAAAACTAAACATCAAATCGTGGTCAAATTCAGGTGGCATGCCCCCCTGAAACACACCCTTGTCTTGTTAAAAACAAGTGAAATTTTACTGCTCATTTTGTTGGCTTGATTTAGATTCTAGATCTAGACCTAGAGTCTAGACTAGACCTAGAGTCTAGACTAGACCTAGGCTACTGATAAAGCTTAATATAAAACATTGATACCGACTATTCAAATAAGTATCGATATCTAGATCTAGATTCTAGATTTAGATAGAAGTAGGCCTACACAAAAGACAAAGTCCCAACCACCATATCCAAGGAGTTCCGAATACTCTACACAAAACAGGAAATAGGCCCCTAGGTTTCCACTTACGACAATCAAGTTCATCTGAGTTGTCATGGCAATCGTCATCGCCATCACATTTCCAAGCAATATTTATGCACCTCCCAGCAGTATGACAAGCAAACTGATTTGGTTCACATTCCGAATCTGCAATAAAGAATTTTTAAAACATGGATATTATGATTAATTTCTACTTTCACTCCAGCACATATGGATCTAAAAACTAGATCTACATCTAGATCTATAGATCTAGAATTTAATCAAATATTTAAGATAGAATCTAGATTAGATAATAGATCTAGATCTAGTCTAGATCTAGAGGGAAAAAGGGGATATACCCTCCTATAATATAGGCAAGACTATCCCCCCAATCCCTAATATAGCCTATTATATATATGATCCAGTGTAGACTAGAGGCAGAGGCCAGACTAGACATGTAACAATAGGGCCTCCTATACAGAATCTAGCCTACATTGAGAAAGGGAGGAATACCGTCACGAGCGACCAATAAGAAACAGTAGAATAGAGGGTTAGAATTTGGGGTTGGGGTAGGGGTAAGGGTATGTAGAACTTTATTTCATGTGTAAATTGTGACAGGCTGACAGGGTTTCTTTTCAGATTATTTTTTTAAAGAAAACTTGAAAACTTACGTGCGAGTCCAAAAATGCCCACGACAAATAGGGCAAAAATTAACCACCTCATTTTGACTAGATCCAGAATCTAGTATTTCACTGATGTATCACAATGTCCTCGGTTTTCAGGAAACTCAAGCGGCTCGTCAGAAAACGTGTTGGGTTGGGTTGCGGTCTGCTGTGTGCTCTTGTAGCCTACACTATCTCAACTCTCAAAGGTGTGGTCTCGTGCGCCAGATTTCAAATCTCTCCGTTTCGGGTGCGTTTGAAGATATTCCAAAAGAACTGAGTCTCGTTTGAAACTACCAAGTAGACCAATAGCCTAACCTGGAACCCTAACAGACGCCCTCCCTACAATGGCTTTTGACCAAAACTAACTGACAAGTGACAAACGTTGTAGAGAACTTTACTTTAGAAGCCACACACTGCCTCATCCGACACCGACACGACAACACGTCGAACACGCAATACCTCAGGCCAACCCAAGCCTCGTATTCGCAGAACATCGTACGATTGCTGGTTCATGAATATGAACGAATGGTCACGTGGTATTTAAGCACCATGGGGAAAATAGAGTTTTATGACAAACAAAACTGGTGCAGTTTTGCAAACACACCTGTTCTACATTTTTGCACTATTAAATCAATGATTTTGCCAAACATCACTAAAACAATGCTGTTATCAATATGTTATACAATTCTGCTCGATGTTAGAGCATTTTGAAACTGGTTAAAATCCCCGGTGATGCAAGAGACTCGTGTCCTGGCCGTGTCGTTTCATTTCATTCATTCACAGATCGAAAAGTGAGGGTTGGTAGGCCAAGTGCCACCGGAGATACCGAAACAAAACATAATAATAAATATCATGTGCTGAGAATACTGATATTATTGGCAGAAAAAAAATCAAATGAGGTAGCTTAATACTTTTAGAAGCCTAAGTGGGCCGCTCGCTGCTAAAAACAACAAGGTAAGAGACAAATAGCTTTTCTAGGACACTTCAATAGACAAAAAGGCCATGGACATCTCGCTTTCACTGTCAAAACTGAAGGTAAACGAGGCATGGAAAGACCCAGAACTATGGGAGCCTGAATAGATGGGTGACGGGGAAAGGGGAGCCTGAATAGATGGGTGACGGGGAAAGATCAGGATACGCCTATTACTATTAGAATCTAAGTAGATTTTTGTAGAACATCCGAGCAAAAGAATGAACTGAAAACCATGAATGCCGATGTCTATTGCAGATCTAGCACTTGATGATAGGCTAATGATAATTAATGTGGTTTGGCCCATGGTGTCAGGACCTATAAAAACATTCCTTGTTCTTTTATGCAAAGCTTCAATTTTCTTTAAAAAGAGACAGAATAGGTAGAGATAGGGAAAAATAGATGTAGAAGAAGGTCGGAATTTGAGGATTTCTTTTCTCTGATCTAGATCTAGGTATAAAAAAATGTCCGGGTTTTTTTCCCACAGTATGTGTCCATCAGGCTGTGAAAATGTAAGAATGTGATCTATAGTTCTCGTTCTCTTCTACCTCTCAAAGGACACCAACATTAAAAACTGTTGTCTTTCAAGCTATCGTTTATTGTCAGACATCTAGGAACTTGGATCATATTTCTGGGAGTTATATAAAAAGCAATATCATGTAGGCCTATTACATTTTTTAAAAAATATTTTGATAAGTACGTGTACGATGTAATATCTTTTCCTTCCGCTGTTTTTGTTTTAGATAAATATGTCTTAATATATCATATTGAAAAAAAATATCATAGCCAGTTCTGCATAATTATGCCTCTCTCTCTCTCTCTCTCTCTCTCTCTCTCTCTCTCTCTCTGGCGTGTTTTTTTCGTGGGGGGGGTTTCATAATATTCAGTGAAAAATGTATGTTTGTCAATTAGGCGAGAATAAAATGTATATCATCAAGCAAACGACAAATCCTTTTTCGAAAGATCATTTGAAATTTCTACATGAGACAACACTTGCTGGTCGAAGGAAGACGATGGTGCGTCTTTGTGTTGGTCCATTCTTCATCCTGTTTGGTTTCGTATACCGGAACTATACCGTTTTCTCATTTAGGCCTAACACAAGGTTGAGATTTCAGATTCAAAGCTGAACCACGAGTGAAAAGCCACACTACATTCATAGGCCTAATTGGTTCCCATAAGTGAAATTCTCCAGTGTTCTCCGTCGTTACTCCATACCTAACTGTTTCGTCCTTCTGGTAAGAGCTTTACGGTAACGCCGAAGGATTGGCTATTCGTGGATGAAAAAAAATTAATGTGGGGGGCGGGGGGTAAGCAGAGTTCTCAGTTCTCTATCACTCATGTACCGTCGCCCAAATGAATTAATGAACACACGTTTTGAGCACTATCCGACTCATGTTGTTTATATATTTATAT